AGATCTCTCCTTTTCATAGCACAAAGGGTAGACAGATACAATGTAAAATATGTGATTACATGAAAAAATAAATTTTAAATACAGAATTATATTAGAATATATATTTCTTGATATTTCTACTTAAACCTACCCCCCCCACACCCCGAAGTAGAAAACCAACATTACTCATCAGTCTGAATTGTCTCTCCCCATCTCTCAATCCCCCCTCCAAGTATTCAAGTTCCATCAGGCTAAAATAGATTTCTGGTGGGTAACTTCTCAGAGTATTTTTTTTCCTTTTTCTTCCCCTCCCCCTCTGAGTATCAGAGACCTGCATTCTCAAGCACACGAATCACTGGGTTCATGCTGTACTATCAATATGCCCTGTGGAAAAACCTTTAAACATATGGGTTGAAAAGTTAGTACTGTTAGAAACCAGGCATGTGTAGCAGCAGCTGTCTTACTTGGCATAGCTTTTGTCAAGTTTTCTGGCACAAATTCCACAACCACAGACTTCTAATGGCCACTGGTATCAATCAACATGCTTGGACTAATTCTGAACATAGAAGTTTCACATTTCAAGAAGTTTCACATTTTAACAACTATTTTAAGTCAATAAGGCTGATCTAATACACAAGAACATGCTCACTGCTAGCCCAGTGGCATGGCAGCTTGCCTACTTTGCTGCCAGCTAAGATACCAGGAAAAGAACAGTGGAAACTAAATCCCCTTTAAGGACAGAACACATTCAGTTGGCCAGGGAGAATGCCAACTACAATATCATGTTTAATTCTTAAACACTAATGACTGATTCATGGCAACAACCCCAAAGGGAAATACTCACCTGCTATTTTAGCAGTACATGAAGCACATTTTCAGGGGATGCTTTTTAACACTATCTGCAGGAATTCTGTTTTGTAACACTATGCTATTAATAAATCTTAGCATTTCAAACTGAAAATTTACCCCCCTCCACAAATCTTTTGAAATAGAGGAGGAACGGAAACCTTATTTGGGATGCAATAAGTAATAAGACAAGGAATACAGAAAGAAAAAAGTAATAATATGCTTCAGCTGAGGCCATGGCAGGCACAGAACTACTGGAAGAATAAACCTGTAAACCCCTTGACTATAGAGATTCTCCTGATATTCAGTCATATTGATGTTGCAACTGTCCCTGGATGAATTGTATGTTCCATCTCCAGCAAGAAAAAAGAAACTGGTTTGAAAATATTCTAAAAATCCTTTTCCCTTACTTTCTTCCTCAGTACATTTCAATACTCTTACTGCCTGAGCTATTGGCTGTCATCTCCACTTAATCTGTTTCATAAAAGACAGAGGAAGAAAAACTATTCTCTGGTGGATTGCCAGAGATACTAGAAATTATACCTTGTACTGAGCTTAACACCTGAACACAGAACACTTGGTTGAGCTATTATTACAGTACAGAAATCTGCAGTTCTTGATGAACAATGCATAGGAAAAAACCCCAACCACTCTAATTTTAGGTATGAAATAATTTGAAATAATTTTCAATTTCATTCTAAACATCTAGAGTTTATAAGAATAGTGCAGATACTGGACCAGGGGTGCCTGAGTAGATGTGCCCATGAAAATATCCCTTTGCTAATTCTTCACAAATTTCAGCCTGTGTGGCAGAGATTCTTATCTGTTTATAAAGTGATCTCAGTCAGGTGACAAAACATATGAAGAAAGCAGGTCAGAAAAAAATACCAGTTACATGCACACACTGACTATAGATATTAATCCTCAAAAATTTTTATTAAGAAAGGATAACTTTAAGTACCTGGTACAAACACATACATGAAAACCCTGGACCTACTGCAGTTGAGACACTTCTGCCGTTGACCATCACAAAACAACGATTTCAACTATGGCATCTAAAACCCTTATATTCCACCATCCAAAATTTGCCTTTTAAAACCAGAATTATCAGGATAAACGCTTTCAAGTAAATTCAGTTCTAATCCTAACAGTGTTTGAATTGGACAGCTGGAAAAAATCTTTCAGCTATGTAGATATTGCGACATTGGAACAGGTTACTCAGGTTGCAGAATCTCCGTCTCTGGAGGTTTCCAAGACTTGGCTGACTGATCTAGTGTTGGCAGGAATCCTACCCTGAGCAGGAAGCTCAAGGAGGACTCCGAAGGTCCATTACAACCGACATTTCTGTGATTCCAGGAAGGCAGGTATGTGACAGAAGTTGAGCTTCCAAAACATTAGGAGAAATGACAACACATACAGACTGAGCTGTTGAAGGAAATCACTAGACAGGAAATCTATGAACCAGCATCTCTCATCTCTACTGGGTAGAAATATCCTCTTCTGAAGTGGTAAACAGAACCAGCAAACAAGCTATACAACTTCTAGCCTTGTGTCTGGGGCAAGTGCTGAACTGCAGCAAAATCAGATGTTGAGACACTTCTCTCACTCTTGCAGAAGAAAAAAAAGGGAAACTTCTACTGCAAGAAAAATAAGTGTTTATAGCATTTTATGCAGGCAATTTAATATGAAAATGTAATTTGGAACATTTTTCAGCATTGCAAAGTAAAAACACTACGTTGAGGAATATTTTAATAAAAAGATATTGTTTACTTAAGTTTGCTTTATTACTTTGCTTTCTATCTTTCACTCAGCACTCTCATTTTTATTAGAGAACATGAAGCACCTCACAAAATAAAACCTGAAAACTGGGGCAGAGACATAATACTGTCTTGAGAAGCCACTTTTAGGAAAAAAAATACAACATTATTTATTGCTTTGTTAAACAGATTTTTTAAAATAGCAAATTAATTGTCACTTTATAATTGCACAATTCCTCTCAGTGCAGAACATCAAGCAAACAAACTATATTTTAGAACTTAGCTAAATCTAAGGATAAAAAGCTCTAACCACATCGCATACTCTGGGAGACCAAGAATTAAGTCCAACATTTCTTCCAAATGAATCCTGTGCTACTAACTAGGATCCTGATCCTTGAGCTATGATGCTCAGCTTCACTTTATAAGCTAGCTCTATTTTGGGAATATAATAAATTTCAACTAAGTAACAATTAGCACTCCCAAGTCTTAGGCTAGAATTACAGTAGGTAAATTGAGGAATTTTTTTTTGTAATCAAAGGCTTTATATTTTTTCCCCTAGCTTTAAGTTTTTTTCCTTTGTGAACAGGAAACATCTTCTAGGGCTGTGTTGCTTGTATGCATGTTCTAATACGATAAAACACAGCAACAGCTTTTTCCAGATCAGTTTGAAAATAGGTGAAAGAGCAATTTAGTGAGGATTTAGTGTACCAATTTTGTCAAACAGATGGGTAAAAACAAAAGCAGCAACAAAGGTGAAATGTTCCCGTCACACCCTGTATAGATTAATGTTCTATCTGTGACCAGGACAGAGTTACATAGTCAGACACCGGGCTGAGTAAGATGAACTGAAAGAGGAACAATTGCACAAAGCCTTGCTATCCGAAATGGAAACTTCCTTACCGCAGGGCACACCTGCTAGTGTCATGACAATTATCTATGAAGGTTAAGGCACTGTCACTGTCTCCCCAAATGAACTAATTATTCAAGGAAACTCATTCTGGTGTGAAACACACAAGCCACCAGCTCAGAAGCATTTATCTGTAAAGACAGCAGACTCTAAAACAAATGGGCATTTGTTGGTGTTGAGAAAGACCCAAGACCTGAAAAGGTATGGAAGAATAATTTTAATTATGGAACCTAAGAAAGATTCCGGCAGAAAGAAAAGCTACATGAGGGTTTTATTGCACAAACACATAGGTGTAAATTTTCTTCCTACACCAACCCTGTATTTTCATGCTTGTTTCAAAGCAAATCTTGGTAGAGCTGGAGCATGAGAAGGAAGACTTTTTTCAGATGACTCTGCAGAACAGGTGATCTGAAATTCCTGTTGCAACCTCCACACTCTAGATATCCCTGCAATACTGTTGCTGCTTGTGCTGCACCTTTTGAAAGCAGGAAAAGGCAAGCCCACATATAGCATCTTTGATCATGGTGCAGCTTGTTGCTTAATTCAGTCTCAACCATTATGCAGAAGTCTGAAAAAAATTCTAATGAAATTGAGTCTTTCTGCCAAAAGGATGACTGATTTCCTGCATCAGCTCTAGGTAATCCAATCATTTTACAAGACGGTATCACTCTGGTTTGACTGCATTTGAGACTAACCACAAAGTATTCTGCCTTCAGAAGATTTATCTTTCCATCCTGAAAGAATACTTTAATTTTTCCCAGTACCTCAGCAGTTGTAACTAAATATTGAATTAGAGAAAAAACAACTTTCTCTAATTGCATTAATGAAAAGCACAGATAACAAATATACCTTTGCTATTTTAACAAACAGTTGCTATTTTTCCCCTTTGACTAATATACTTCATTTAGTATTCTATAAATCAATGATTTTAAATGTATTGCTCTTCAGCTAACATGATGAAGTAAGGCTACAATACTGATATCTTTAAACAGTGTTAAGAAATGAGACAACTCCCAGAAAAAGTAACTGCAGTTTAATCCAGGCTGTGGGGCTATGCACTTGTAACTGGCTCTATTTTCTGTGAAATGGAACGAGAAGTTTCAGTCCTGGTCCCCTGCTGCCCACATTCCCAAAATTCCTTTTGACCTTGCACTAGTAAGCTCTCTTCTTGAAAGTTCAAGCTCACATCATATCAGAAGAAAGGAGAGACAAAACGCTGAAATTCTTACATGCTCCATTAACTGTGTGGATGAAAAGAATCCTAAGCAAATTTAATTGTGATCCTAAGAACAACTAATCACTAACAGATTAGGTCCATCTCACTACTGTTACATTCACTGCAGATTCTTATAAATAGCTGCAGCAGGATGGGAAAAGCTGAAGAAACAAGCAAATACATGAATGCTTTATTAATGGTTATATTCTACTGCTACTCTTCTATTCCTCTGGCTCTTTTGTTTTGTTAGTTTCATGGAAGATTTTGCAGAATTAACGTTATCACAAATACTTACGTTTGATGCTGGTCAACCTACTTTTGGGCACTGAACAGTCTACAGCTGCTGAAAATAAGAAAAAAATGTAATTCAATATTTACTTAGTATTTGTGGTGGCTAGAAAAAAGTGGCAATAAAACAACACAGAACAAAGACTAATTTAATTAGAACACAGCAATTGTTCTCTATTTATAATATGCTAGTTACTGTGTATTTAAAGTATTAGATTAATAGTAATATAGTCAGAGAATTTTCAAGATAAAGATGTTAAAGTAAGGTACATATTTGAAGGAAGAATCATCATTTAAATGAAGATTATTTACAAAAGATTTATATACACTTTGTGCTGATGGCATTTAACTGCACACTTGAGGATACTGAGTATGTTACATGGTGGAGAGATGACAGTGTATGTGTGATCATGGACTCTGGACCCCAAAGCCCCAGTGTACCTCTCTTTAAAGCAGACATTAAGAAAAGGAGGGATGATAAAGAGAATCAGCAGAACCACCTCCAAAACCCTATTTCTGAAAATACCTAGAAAAAGAGTGTACAATGTTTGGGGAGGGATTCAAAAAATATTTATCTCATAACTCATATCCTGCAAACTTTTGTGCATTTAATTTAAATACTCAGAACATCCTGCCAAGCCCTGGCATTAATATCTCTAGGACTGAGATCCCAAGACAAGTTTATACCATGAAGAACGAAAATAGCTTGTGAACTGTAAACAACAGTAATCGCTATCTACAGACTTCTCTTAGCTCTGGGCATGATAATTTTTGAAACACAGTACTTCATACTCCTTGTGTGACCTTAAAAAAGTAACTTTGGCTGTAATACAGTTTGTTTTCAATTTTCACACTGGCAACAGGGTATTGTCAGTTCATAGTGGAGTAAACGCACATTTCTAGATATGAAAATTTTTTGATCAGGATCTCACCATAATTAAGAAACATACAAACATTGACAAGTTCAAAAGGCTTTTAAGTTCCAGATTTCATAATATTTGTCTTTTGACAAATGTAAGTACCTTCTAACATTAAAATATGTAAAAAAAATCATATGCATATTTAGTGCTCAATAATACAGATTAGTAACATGACTTTCTCACTTGAAAAAACATGGGGCAATTTTCAAAGTCCTTAAAACTAGCTAATGCCATTGATTGATATATGAAAAAAGATAATGATCATTTTAAAATTAAAAAAAAAAGAAAAAAGACACAGTGGTCTGAGTTTAATTGAAAATGTTCTGTGTTCATTGCTAAAATAAATTCTGTATGCTTGCTATTGTGACTATCTCCGTGATTTTCAGTTCAGCATATTATTTCATAACTCATTATTTAATCAAAGCAGAATGAAGAGAATCAGCACAAAGTACCCTAAAATTAAAGTAGTACCTTTGGTAGCACTTAAGGAAAATATTTTCATACAAAACTTCCCATTCCAATAATACAAAACTAGTATTAAGTAGCAGCCATACCTCCTTGCTGACATCAGACTGAGTATGAAACAGGAATGAAACACCACTTCCTACAATCCCGTTCATTCCCTCTTGATATGAGCCTATTCTGAAAGAATGAGCTAAATCTGGGGGTAGAAAGTTCATTCATATATGCACATTTTTACCTTTGGCTGAAAGGATTTTGTTGTAATGAAACACCATGTGATCTCTGATCAGGTACTGGCTAGTTAGACTTCGGGAGGAGTCAATGCAGAAAGCTGTAAGATTAAAATATATTTAAACATTATAAAGGCAGGCACAAGAATACTAAAATTTTAAAGAGTTATTAACTGCAATTCAAACCCACAAATTTTAAATTCTGTGTGCTTAACTTCTTTGCCCAATGGCAGCCATTTTTCTTTAGCAGCTACTATCACATGAAATCATCCTGTCTCCTTTGGTTTTTTTTTTTCGCCCCCACTGAGCCATTAACTCAATACATACCTACAGAAGTGGCTGAAGTTGAACCATGAAAACATCAGCAGGAAACTTCTCATTTCTCCATTCTATGCTCTTTTGAAAAAAGTGTCTGAAGTGGCAGTATGGCACAGAAACATACACTAGCCCATGTGAACCACTGACTGTAAAGGAATGTGTTTAACCTCAAGGGCTGTTTAAAGCAGTAACCATATCGATATTCCAGCTAATACTGATGTGACATCTATATATATCTGGATATCTTGCTAACTGTTTCTAGCTAGCAGTACAGTCAAGGCAAAACTCACTCAAAAGTATTTTCAGTAATGCATACTAAATGTAAGTAGTATTAAACTTCACCAATTCAGCACAGCACAAAGGTTTTAATTATAAAAACATTTTAATCACAAAATCAATGAATTCACATAAAAGGACCCATGTCAACCTTCTGATGAAAGCACATGTGTTACTTACCATTACTCTTCGTACTCAAGTGTCCTTTAAATGGACTTGCTGGACCACATCTGGGAATGTCAGCAGCTGAGTATTCACTCACTTTAATAAAGTGTCAAACAAAACAAAACGTTAGAAAAAAGAAAACACATATTTTGACAGACAAGATAAAGCAGAAAATCTTTCCCCAAAGAACTCATGAATGACTGTAGTGGTCCTTTTTCACAGAGGAAAAAAATCGTATTTAAACGTTATACTATTACTGAAGTACAACAGTGTAGTTAAGTAACTTAATCTAAACACCAAGATACAACGGCAGTACTTTTACTGGTTCAGGGAGCTAAACAGCAGAAGAAACCATTAGATCACTTCAGTCTGAACTTTACATTGGTCATTAAACTGCACAGAGGTGTGGCCACAGTTTTGTACCTATGCTAACCTCCCATTTGTTTTAAAGTTTTAGTGATCGAATTTTATGATTACATCAAATGACTAATGTGAAAAACATTCTGTCTGTAGACAATGATTGTGGTTAGTATTATACTAAAATGCAAGTTTAATAGATTGAAGGAATTATGCTTGTGTGAAAATCATCCTATCAATGAGAACACATTATTTCAAAAATCTATTGTTAATGTAAGAGGAATTTGGTTTGCCATTCAATCTGCTGGCAGTTTGATAGACCGGGAACTCTATAGACAAGTGTAGATGCTGACATAACTTACAACAACCAGTTGTTCCGAAAAATGAAGGAATGTGAATTAAAAGCTCTACATCTCCTTGAAAATAAATGCTGTACTGTCAGGCTCACAACTACTGTCTGTTACACAACCTATGATTTCAAAATCTGCACCTCAATTAATTATCTGCACCATTTTAAAAGCAAATTTTAACAGAAAATATCCTATTTCTACAAATACTAGTGTATACAAAGCGTTCCTTTAAGGTTTCCAAGACCCTGCTTAAAACGTAAAGCAAAACAAGTTTTCTTTAACAGAGTAAACATACCACACTTACTGAACATCAATTACAAAACCATGCAGCCAATTTCTACAAATTTATTATGACTATCGAGGTCCATTTGGCCTTCCCATTCCCGTCCTACTTCTCATCTGTCAATTCAAGAGTCTGCAATTGCCACGTAAGCGTTTCCTAGCAATTGGAGGCACTACAGCTCTGGGGCAGTAACTCTACCGCTCTACACTTACTGGCGACCTCCAGCTTTCCACCCTTCATCGGATGACAAAGCAAGCTGGACCTACCCAAAATGAGTGGGAATCTCTTCTCAGTGGCCTTCAGCTGGGTCAACAAAGGCAGACATAATTACAAGCTGACTGGGGGGTGCAAGAAGCCATGTCACACATGTCAAAAGCCCCTTAATTCTACCTCTCATGGCTTCTTACCTCCTGCATGCCCAGCACCTGGCTTTCCAGTTTGTCGTGTGTCCCCCCTCCCCCCCGATTTCCCACTGTTATGTAATGACTGTTAAGAGTACTATTGCAATTACATACATAACTACTACATTCTGTAGCTCTACTTTAAGTGCAACAGCATGTTGCATAAGATGGTCAACATTGTCTGACTATTAATTAGTAGAGATTGCAGAAAACCAAATCGTTCCTTTAACAATGTTTTAATATCATTTCCCCAAAGGCCTTATAAAAACACCTTATAAATTTCAAGTGACTAGGATCAGTTGGGGAAGCAACAAAATGTATCTTGAGAAAAGAAATAAAATGCAAATCATGAGCATGTGTGGAAATTTGCAGAGTACTTTCTTGGGATCCTGTTGTGAAATTACACTAAATCTGGATTAATAAACTCAATCCCCACTCTTATGAAGCTCCAAAAATATTAAGGCAGTTTTGAATTAGTATGAGGATTTCACACTTAGAAAAGCGAGCCTTTATACAGAATGGGATTCTGCGGTTTTACGGTATTAGAGGCAGTGTCTGCAATAATAGTGCTCCCACTACTCTTTGCTGTGAAGTTGCCAGACCAGCAGTAGGAAAGGGTCAAGGAAAAAAAAAAAATGGAGAAAATGCTGCTGTAGATTTTTTCAACTCTGTCCTGCAACTGTTTTATCTTTATACTGTTTTCTTTAAAGCCAAAGGACAACGTTCCTGCTCATCTGTATCAATTACAAATGGCTCGTTTTAAATTCCCCTCACGGTACAATTCTTCCTAATCTCTATTTGTGATTTAAACACATATATGAACAATGAGAAGTTATTTTTAAAATATTAAAATTCTAAACATACAGCAAGAATTTATCAGATTTAGAATTACTGTCTCCGCAACGGTTTTAAACTTTTGCCAATAATGGCCTTCTTTCTTATTTAAGTATTATATTTCTCCACCATACAATATTACATATAAGTAGTATTCAGTGTCTAGCTGGATACCTGCCCTGAAACTCATGACTTCCTGAAGTTACAATACTCATGTGTTTAAAGAATGCAAGTCTTTGGGAGGACTTGAATGTTAGATTATAATATTTTAGTAGATAAAAGTTTGTCCTAATGATAATTTCAAAAAATGTATACACCAGAAATGTAGATTATAGCAGGCACCTGAGAATCAGAAGGGTTTCATTCACAGTTGCTCAAAATAATCTAAATATTCTAGTATTTTCTGTATTTCAGAGCCAAGTTATAATTCCAGAAGCGGACACATACCATTAGATAAAAGCTTACAAGAGCACCTCTAAGTCATTTTTGTGTAACAGAATCATAGAGAGGTAGGCATGGGCATCTCAAAAATGCAGAGACATTGTTACAATTACAGTTGATTCTCTTCAGGTAACCTAAATGGCTTTGCCCTGAGTTAAAAGATAATCAGAGACGCTCAGAAGCCTGTTGCTTTTACTGTCTTCAGCTGGAGATGCGTCTATTCAGCACCACAGGAAAACCAAACTATTTTGAAATGTTCATTTGCTCTGCATCACCAGCAGATGGCACACAGGTAAACTGTAACGAAAAAACTACTGAGTCCTCTACGATTAATCTGTACCAGGCTGGGGGGGGCGGGGGGGGAGTCACCCCCCCCATCCTGCATCATTATTTCATAGGCGAGCAAAACGATCAGAAAGGGTCAGGAGGGAGAAGTATTTTACAGTTTCCTCAGCCTATTCCAATTACGGGCATGTGGACAGCGCAGAGATCGCCTCCAATCCATGCAGAAACCCCCAATTTGCAGAAGTCCCAAAGGCAATGGAAACACAACACCATTTATGAAGAGGTCACGGTGTTTGCGCAGGTGCCTATGTCCCCTGTGCTATCTTCCCAGCATGCCGTAACTCCTCTGCTGCCGAGGAAAGGTTTCAGGTCCTCGATCCAACCAAACGTATTTCCAACCCAACTCCGGCTAATTGCAGGGTAAGAACAATACTTAGTCCTTTCACAGGTATCTCTGAACTCCCCCCCCCGCCCTGGAAATACTTAGGCCATTACAATGTTGAACCATTTTCCAGAAGTGGAGGACCTCGAATAAAAGTGTTTCTGACTGCTCAGATTTTAGGATAGCCTTGAAACGTCAGAGTTGCAGCCCCACTAGCACCTGGACCTGTTGAAAGCTTTCATGCCATTAACGAATGACATTTTCTTGCCGTTTAGAACACTTCCTTGCTGGGCAAAAGTCTATGCTGAACAACTTTTTTTTAGTATCTAGTTGGATTCCAGGGGCTCTATGCTGGCAAATCGTATATATTATTATAGCGTCAATTAAAGAATAGAACAGTCTTTAACCTAAAAATATTTCCATAAACAGCAGAACTTGCGATGAAGGCTTCCTATGGTCCTCCCATGGTATCCCATGGTGCTTGCTCCTACACTCTCTGACTCTCGTGCCAAATAAAGGGACTGAGATATTTTTGTAACTTGTTCATCAATGAGAGCCTCAAATGCTCTCTGTAAACCACCCACTTTCACAAAACATGTAGAATACTTATCACAGAAAAAGGGTCAAAGACACTAATTTGGCTGAAATAATGCTTAGCACTATTGAAAACAGGAGAGGCAAAGAATAGTAAGTAAACCTTTGTTTTCTTAGGATCCCAGGCTGTTTCACATAGACATTCCATCAAATGTATTGTTTCTACACCGAATTCAACTTATAATACTCTACCTATATCTTCACTCTGAAACTCAAACCCACTTTTTACAGTGTCAAATATTTACAATAAAGACGTACGTTGCTAATGTCAGAGGAGAAACTGGAGGATCTGGTATGCGGAGGATATCTGATGTATTTTACTGTTTCCACAAAATAACTGAAGTGAAGTAGAAAGCGTCAATGTTCAAATGTTTCACAAGTATAATTTCAGGTTGTCTACTGACTTGAACAGGTATTTGTTTAGATTCAGTCTGTTTTCAAAGTTATTTAAACAATAGCAGAAACTAAACTTAAACTGAAGGCTTAGATATATGAAGAGAATTTTAAAGGACAAGGGGATTTTCAGCAAGTTACATAGTAACCAAATATGAACCTGACAAAGGACAATAACTACAAAGCATAATAATTAAAGCACCTGGATAGCTATGGGAGTGATGGAAGCGGTACTGGTTTAGGACTGTAAGCAGAGTGAAAGTAGTATGCATTTTGGCTACTTTGCCTCTTTTTTTCCAAAACCCATGCATGCAAGAGAGAATTTTTTCAGTGAAAAATCTTCTACTGATTTTGATGGTTCTTAAATAATAAGTTATTAGGGAATAGGAGCACTTGTCTGAACTGGACTTAGCAGAACTAATCCCAGTACTTGCAGTACTATAGCAGCTTTTGCAATAATTAAGTTTCCTGACTAAAATGCACACTTTCTACTTCTTACAATAAAAAACATCCAGTCACAAATTTAAGGTCTACGTAAATATATTTCCAGAACTGGACTGGAAACTGTTTGAGAGAATTCCATTTTGTTTAAGAAATTATTTTCTGAGATTTAAACCTCAGAAACTGAGACATATAATGGACTTCTATCTTTGATATACTATACATGTAACTATGTGATCTAAACATACATTTCCTCATAGATGTAAGTGGACTGTCCACACTGAATATAAAATCAGGATTCTCACGCTGTGTGTTCTCTAAAGTACAGAGAGCAAACAAATATTTCTAAAAATTAATTAGATCTTTCAGCTCCTTATTAATGCTTCTATTTGTTTGTTGTAGGCTTTCCTCGCAAGTGTGTGACACTATACAACAGAGAAAAAAAATAGAAAACCCCTTTCTCTGTAATTCCTTCCAGCTGGTATCCAAAGTAAGTAACAATTATATTATTGCAAAGAGATTTTTAAGATATTTCGTTTAAATTATCTTTTCATTTCATTTAAAATGCATCCTATCTTTATTTCTAATTTTACAGTCTTAAAAATTATGGAAATTGGTGTTTCGTAGTTGTCAGTGGATATGCAGAATTTATGGAAATTATTTTTCTACAAAGCCATTCCAGATTTGGAACATGAGTATGTACTGGAAAGAAGCCCAGTCTTTCATTGCAATGTCCTTATAGGAAGGATTTTAAACACAAGTATTAGACTTGCTATTTTTACAACAAACCTGCACTTTAGACATTGCAAATCAAAAATACTGGGGGGGGGGGGGGGAAATTC